AAAGCACAATGAGGTAGTATATAAGTCTAAATCCTATTGCTATTATTATTTCTTTGGTTCATTGTTAATGCTTCTCTGTACTTTACGTAATAGGCATGATAGGTGAAGGTAAAGTTTCCCCTCGCACATATGTGCTAGTTGTTCCCGACTCTAGGGGGCGGTGCTCATCTCAGTTTCAAAGCCGAAGAGCCAGCACTGTCTGAAGACATCTCTGTGGTCATGTGGCCGGCATGACTAAACGCCAAAGGTTTCCGGTGTTTTCAAACTGCCAGGTTGGCAGAAGCTGGGACAAGTAACAGGAGCTCACTCCATTACGCAGCGCTAGGGATTCGAACCGCTGAATTGCCAACCTTCTGATTGACAAGCTCAGCATCTTAGCCAATGAGCCATCGCGGCCCTAGGCATGATAGAGTATATATAAATGCATGTAAGTTGATTGTGCCATCAAATTAATATTGATTCAACAGAATTTTTTCCAGGACAATAATCCTCATCCTGGTCCTTCAGGTCTTCCTGAGGCACCCACCATAATTGTAACTGAGTCCATCCAGTTGATGCTATTTGTCATCTTCTTTTCTTTTCTTACGCCTTTCCCAGCATTGTGGTTTTCTCCAGGGATCTGGGTCTCGGAATAATGTATCCAAAGTATGATAATCTGAGCTTAATCATCTGTGCCTCGAGGGAGAACTCTGGAGTGATTTATTCAATGGTCCATTTGTTGGTTTTCTTGGCTGTCAGTAATATTCTCAGCAATCTTATTCAGCACTAAAGTTCAAAAGTGTCAATACTCTTTTCATCCTGCTTCTTCAAAGTCCAAGGCCTATACGTAGAATTGACTAAAAGACAAAAGGAAGCATATTGGTTTTTGTGTGGCTTTGAATACTGTAGCTCCTTCCCCCAACTGTAAAATGTTTCTCTACACTGCTTGAAATTAGGGTTACAAGAGAAAAAGCTTTGTCAACTGCAACGCCCTGGTGCCCTCTCATGGCCAGTCTATAGATCACACTTTGCAGCTCCTCTGTAACTGACATTGTGGTGAATCTGAAGTGTTCTCAAATGGCCATATTAGCTGGAGAAATATTAGCATTGGTGGGATTCACCCATTTCGAACCACTTTGGGAGAACTGGTTGTTAACTTTCTGAGCAATTTGGTAAACTGGTTGGTGGAAGAAATCATTAGGGCAAAGAACCGGTTGTTAAATTATTTGAATCCCACTACTGAATATTAGTTATAATCCAACACATCTGAGAGGCATCAAATTCGGGAAAAAGTGGTTTAAACTGAGAGAAAAAATAACAATCAAACAGTGGAAGTCCCCAATTCAAACTGAATGCATAAACTCCCAAGACAAGTCCTCCCAACCACCTCTGTTTATTTGTTCGTTTTTTTGAAGCAGAGGTGCATAAAGAAAAATAGGAAATAGTGTAGCAATAGATGAAAAAGAAAATATTTAGGTAGCACCTCCGATAGCCATATTTTGAACCAATGCCACAGAGGGATATTACTCAAAGCTTTGATTTCTATGTTAGATGCATTAGGATGTCAGTGGAAGATTGTACACTCATCTGTCTGACACAGCCATCCCAGTATAGACATTAGAATAGATCATACTGACCCTGAAGATACTTTCATACCATTAGATAACCAGGATTCCAAACAGGAAAACTTTTTACATTGTTGAGTTCCGCTTAGATGCATCTTAGGTGGTAATAACCTTGACAAAAAAAAAAATCAGAATACAAAATACAAGCTGGGCGGATATGACCTGATAGACGACCTCCACTCTCTCAAGGACCTTGGAATACTCATCTCAAATGATCTAAGTGCCAGAGCACTCCATTCCTAGGAGGTCTTGAAGGGGCGTGCATAAGCGCACCAGCATGCCTATCGTCCCTGTCCTAATAGTCCCTTGTATTCGTATATATTTCCTATATTCATAACCATGTATATACATATATGTTACCTAATTTATGCTTGATGAAATAAATAAATAAATAAATAAAAAGCGAGTGAGCAAGTAGACCAAAACCATATTTTGCTTCCATCCAAGCCACTCATAAAATACCTGATATTAAGGGCAAGTGCCTCTTTGTCACGTTCTTAGCATAAATGTAATAAAATTATATTATTATTCAGTGGTAGGTAAATCAGTGCAAAATATAAAAATTTTAAAAACCTAAAAACTGGTGTTTGCAAATGATACATATAGTATATTGCGTATATCCAACTTGGATGGCTAGTGTTTGATTTACTCTGTTGTTAGAAGTCAAAACATAGATTAATTGAATAAAGCGTAGTTATAAAAACCAACAGTGAAATATGATAAAATAGCCATGGTTCTGGGGAAAAAAAATAACATCATAAATATTATGACATTCCAAAATAAAATATAAGTAATTTTCAAAATACCAAAAACCTCTTTTGGTAGAAATCATCAATGAGCAAAACCCCATTTTGGATAACAGGCCAATCTTAATTAATGGAGTCAAAAATTGTAGCATTCATCTATGGTTATATCTGGGATGTTTTACATACAGTGGGGTTCTCTGTATCTACAAATCCAGGCTGTGTCCTAAGTAAGTACTCGACCATTTGCCTAAGTGATTTTGTGGGATTTTCTTTTCTTTTTTGTGCCTTCGGGTCAGTTTCTGACTCTTGGTGAATGGCTGGACAAGTCCCTGGAATTTCCTTGAAAGGATGATTAGGTGGTTGGCATGGCATCCTTTTTTAGGGCTGAGCGAGAGTTCTTGGTCCAAGGGAACACAGCTGGCTTTGTGCCTAAGCAGGACTAGAACCACCGGGATTCAAATAATTTAACAACCGGTTTTCTGCCCTAAAGACCAGCAGGGTAGGTGTGGCTGGGTAGTCATGTGAATTGGTAGACATGGCCAACTTGATGTCACTCACGTCAAGGGGTGCCTCGCCACGCTCAGCCACGCCTCGGCCATCCCCTCCCAACCACTCCTTGTCATGTCCAGGGGCTCACCTCGCTGGAGTAAGTAATTTTCAAATAAAAAGAATACTCGCCTTGTGCAAATAAATAACAAACATCTTGACTTCAGGTTTGATTCATCTTGCAAAGAATTACTGTTCATTCTAGTCTCCTTTCCTACTAACAGTTCCATCTTGGATTGTAATTTGCTATAATCTCTCTTGTCTTTTGCATCATTCTATTATTCTGAAATGTTCTGTGATGTTTGCAGCTTTACAAGTTAGTTTCCTCCAACCCTGTTTTCGCATGCATTTTTTACAAGTTATTTTGACATTTCTTCCTCCTTTTTAAACAGAGTAGTGGTTAAGGTGCTGGCTTAGAAATCAAGAGACTCTGAGTTCTAGTCCCATTTTAGGCTTGCAAAAATGGCTGAGAAACCAGTCACTCTCTCACAGCCCAAACCACTTCTTAGATTGTGGTTGTGGGGAAATTAAGAGGAGGAAGGAATATTAGATAAGTTCTCCACCTTGAGTTCCTTATAAAGTAAGGATAAAAATCTAACAAAATAAATAAATCATTTGTGAAAATGATGTTCTTCTAAAGGAGAAGGGGTGCTATTGCCTTTATTTCATTTTTATCCACTTTATTTTTCTCTACTTTTTGGTTTATTCTTTAATGATGGCCGAACCAATGCAAACCAGCTGAATCCCACCACTGAATAGAACTCATGTCTCCCAGTTGCTCGCCTGGGCTTTAACCACATCAAACTGGCTATCTCATTAGGATTTACTTTCCCACAAATCTCTACAATTCCATAGGGCACTTAATGGAAATTTTATCAAACTTCCAACAACATATTTCTCAATTATCATGAAAAAGCCACCAAGTGTCAACGCTTTTCCATGCCCTCCTGCAGTAAATTGTGTTATTTTGCTCAGCAATAATTTTTCTCTCATTCATTTGGTGGGGGGGAACCCTACATTGGTACCTTTAAGAAATGTTATTAAGAGAATATAATGTACTGGTAGTATCCCTTATAGTGTGTGATATGGCAGGCTGGACAAACAAAGCAGCTTAACTGCTACTTTGTTAGTGTTTCTCCATGGTGTCTTCCACCCAGATGATTGCCAATTGGATTTTAGTCATAATATTGCTCTGGGAATATCTATACAATATGTGAAAGAGTGCAAGAATGATTTTTCTGTCCACTGATATATTCAAGGGAGTGTTATACATTTTGGGTGTGCTCATACGTGCTGTTGAATGTGCTAATATGTGTGGCCCACTAATCACCACTGCACTGCTGTAGCTTCGGGTTGCTTCAGCACATTTAACAAAATAGAGTAGAGCTATCTGCAGAATAATTTTATTAATAAAACGTGAATTATTGCAAAAGATTGGCAAGTGCTGGGAGGGAGGCAGGACAATAAACAGTGCAGAGGTCTACAGCTAGTACTGGATTACAACTCCCATTATCCTCATAAAAGGTAAATATAAAGGTCCCCCTCGCACATTGTTCTCGACTCTAGGGGGCGATGTCCATCTTAGTTTCAAAGCCGAAGAGCCAGCGCTGTCCAAAGACATCTCTGTGGTCATGACTAAATACCAAAGGCGCACAGAACGCTGTTACCTTCCATCAAAGGTGGTTCCTATTTTTCTACTTGCATTTTTTACGTGCTTTCAAACTGCTAGGTTGGCAGAAGCTGGGACAAGCAACAGGAGCAGCGAAAAGCCGACGCTAGGGATTCGAACTGCTGAACTACCTACCTTTCTGATTGACAAGCTCAGTGTCTTAGCCACTGAGCCACCGTACCCTATATATAGAGCTTTGCAAGCCTATTTCTCTGCCTCCCTGCAGCCCCGAAACTCTTCCCCCGCGCTTCATCCATACAAATACTACTCCCATTTCTAGCCAGACCTGCTCCTACAATACCCAGCATTCCCGCGCCTCTCCCTGACGCCGGGTTGGAAACGTAATAAACACGCGCCGTGGTCGCCTTTTCTTTGCGTGTTCCAACCTGCGGCGGGAAAGCGTGATGCAGAATGCCTGCGACAGCCGTATGAACGGCGCCAACAGCTGCTGCCGTTCCCACTCGTGCTGTGGCCGCCCCCGGCGCCTTATCTCTTGCCGGGAGTAGAAGGGCAACGCGGCCCCGGGGACGCGGCCGGGGGGTGGGGGGATGGCGGAGCCCGGCGGGACATCCTCAGGCGCAGGCGGAGCTGGTGGGAATTCCTCGGGGCCGGGCGGGACCGACCCAGGTTCGCTGCCCCCCGGCGACGCGCAGCTCATCGGCCTCATCGTGGGCCAGCTCAAGAGCCGCGGCCTCTTCGACGCTTTTCGCCGGGACTGCCTAGCCGACGTCGATACTAAGGTACGGCTGCTGCCCTTATAGGGAGCAGGATCTCTGTTTTGGGATATTGAGAAAACTTCGGGGAGACACAAGCAGCCCGTCCTATGGGTATCCCCAACCAGGGACCTCAGGTATTGTTTCGTTTCAGGGCGGAGGAAGCGGGGGACAATAGCAACTTGTGTATCTAATCCAGAAGTCTTCAAACTTGGCAACTTTAAGACTTGTGAGACTTCAACACCCAGAATTCTGGGAGTTGAAGTCCACAAGTCTTAAAGTTGCCAAGTTTGGGGACCCCTGGTCTAATCACACTTGGACAATAGAGAATTCTTATTCTAAATCTCCTCGTGTTTTCTTGCCCTTTCCACCTGTTTCTTCTCATTCCTCTCCCAAACAGTAAATTTATTTGTTGTTTTGGCCCTGGGGCTATCCGTCCAGAAGGAGCCCCGTTCACTAGACTGAGGCTGTGCTACTACGCACGGCGATCCGGATTTGGAGGGAAAGCAGGGATAAAAGAGCACTCTAGTCTCTGCCAGTAACAAAGGACTGTGTTTTTAGCTGGGCTCCTGTGTTGGTTTGAATGGGGGCAACTTTTCTCCTTCACATCTGGACCGCACAGCCATACTCTATTTTTCAACTAGAACTAATCTAGATGGGTTGCTTGTAAATGAGCAATAAAATAAAACTGTAAGCCCATGGGGAAGGTGAGCTTTTGTCCTCTTTCATGGTGCCACTCAGATTCTTTCAGTGTTAAGTCACTTATATGGTGAGATTTAAAATAGGGGACATTGAGTACCAGTGTTCTGGATGTGAGAAATTACTGAACTTTGTATCATATTAAGGAGTAAGAATAGACATTAAATCTTAGGCATTAAATTATTATAATTCCCATAGCTTGGCAGTCATATAGGATCAGACGTCTTAGTGTTCTTTCTGTGCAGAGTAAAATTCAGTACAGAAATTACTGCCTCTATAATAAAGAACTGAAACTGCTAATTTTGTTGGTAAAAGTTACCACATTGTTAAATTACCTATGCACTTAGCATTTATACTGTAATATGGATGGGGAAAGATAAAATTTTGTAAAGTGGTCCTCTTCTTGTAAGCAGCCAAATAAGTTACTGTTTATTTAAGTCAATGCATAAGCCTTGGGTTCATAGTTATTTAATTAGATTAGTGAGTTAATTTGTATGTTTCAAAATCCAAACAGCTTCAAGGCAGCTACCAGAATATAGAAAAATGGAAAATGGATGGCAGGAAAAGAGCCAATCCATTGAATCTGTGCTTTGAGTTTTAAAAGTGTTTTTTATTTATTTTATTAATTCATTAATTTTATTTGATAATAGACAAGTATTCCAAGCATGTTTAAACTCAGTTACTGATTATTGGCCCACTACTTCCCCTGAAAGTTGGTTCTAAAATTTCTCTACTCTTTCTGTGAAGAAATACTGTCTAACCATCAGTAAGAGCAGCATAATAAAACATATTTTATTGTTTATTGTCCAACAGCTTAAGGAACAGAACAGAATAGAATAACAGAGTTGGAAGGGACCTTGGAAGGACACTTCTGACAAATGTTTATCCAACATCTTTAAAACTTCCAGTGTTGGAGCATTCACAACTTCTGGAGTCAAATTGTTCCACTGATTAATTGTTCTAGGAAGTTTTTCCTCAGTTCTAAGTTGCTTTTCTCCTTGATTAGTTTCCACCCATTGCTTCTTGTTCTATCCTCAGGTGCTTTGGAGAATCCCTCTTCTTTGTGGCAACCCCTGAGATACTGGAATACTGTTATCTTGTCTCCCCTAGTTCCTGCAACAAATAAAATAAATAAAACATATGCAATAGAGATAGCCAACAAAATACCTAGAGTACATCTAACATTTAAAATGTCGATAACATCATCATCCAAGATAATTATAGAGGGCTTTCCCATTTTTACTGCTTTCAGGAAGACCTGCATTAGTAAATGATTATCTTTTATAGATATAAATAACTTCTTGTTTTGTATTTGTATTGTAGTTGCTCCTTAGCCACAGTGCTTAGTTTTGACCTTTTGAAAGATGTTTAGCAAACTATGATGTTTTTAACAGCACTTGCACGGGGAGAGTGCATGGGATGTGATATTCTGCATTTAATACATCAACCATTACTGGGTTAATACAACTGAACAAGAGTTGTATCCCTAAATAGTACTGTCTAAAATCCCAAAGAGAGATTGATTTAATTTATATAACATAGCAAGCTAATATATCTGAACTGGCACATTTTAGTTTCAAAGACCCTTGTTAAGCCTAAAACATTTAGTCAGATGAATGTAATCAATAGGACATTGTTAAAGAATCTACTTTAAATCCTTGCACTGGCTGCATATACACTACATGATCCCCATTACAAGCTCCTTATTTTCCCTTCTAAGCCATTCCAATAGTAGTTGTATTATGACCATTTGAAGCCTTCTGCTCTTTCAGAATCTATTTTGTCTTACAAACGCTTTCACTTTTAAGAATTTAGGCAATATTTCCTGTCAAGTCCTCATCAGTTGTGATCTTGGTCAAAACCCAGTTTAGGAAGGCTATGTATGTTTGCTGAAAGTTAATATACATAGCAAAATACATGAAACAAATAAACAATACATGTTTTATTAAAACTGTATTGATCAGTAAAATAACAACATATTGAGATTTTAGTTATGGTCACATGACAAAACATGAAGATAATGCACATTAGGACATTTCATTCAGTTACAATGCCCAGATCATGAGAATGTAAAAAAGGAGAGCATAACCAACAATAGTCTAACCAAATATATGCCTTAAATATATTAGTATTTATATTAGTACATGTTCTACAGTGCATGACTGTAGAACGTGTACTAATCAGAGTGCATGACCGTGATATGGCAATGTTTGTGATCAGTGTAAACAAAAGATTGGGTATGATTAACCCTAAGCATCCATTGAAAAATGATTCCTCTTTCTGATCAAATGTCCTAAATCTATTTGTCCTAAAGAAAGCACTAGGTTTAATATCCTATGTCAGTGACTCCCAATGTGTTTTAAGAAGGGAGAAAGACAGAAACATAAGTGTATTCTAAAGATTTAAATTAGCAGAAATGATTAGTAAAGAGTTTTAAAAGATAAGGAATAAAATGTAAATATATATGTTAGATAGCATATACATTAGTGTACATATTTGATAAATTCCATGTATAATTAATAAAACTTAACAGACTATCAGAGATTGTAAAAAAAAACTTCAGGGAAATACATGACAGTATTAGTCACCGATATAATAGAATATGCTTGGGGTTTACGCCTTCACCACAAAGGTCTCCTGTCAATGCCACCTTTACTGTCACATGTCTGAGCTACCAACTATGGTTAATGAAAGGAAAAAGTATATAAAATAGCCCAAACAAGTGGGGAAATTGATTTAAGACAAGCTAGTAAAAAGAAAAGATAATAACCTTCTAGATAAGCAAAGGTAAAGAATTGAGCAGAAAAAGAATAAAATACCTATCAAAGAGAAGGATTTAATATAAGATAAGAGATCAAATACAAGATCACAGAGTTTTTTCATACTGACCCAATAATATCTAATGATTGAATATATATTATATCATGAGAGGCTAAAAATAAAGGCAAACAGATGAACTTAACCTTTATCAAAAACAGATAATTCAATCTCTAAAACCTTCTAACAACGCAGTCTCTAGTCTTGTGATGAACAGTATACAACTTTTTTTATTATAAATTCTATTTCTAGTGTATATATAATACTATCCAATTTCTGCTACAAGTCTTATTCCCCTCGTGGAGTTGAGTCTTATTTCCTTGTACTACATTTTGTGAACACACTAATAACACAAATAATGTATGTACCGTGTTTCCCTGAAAGTAGGACAGGGTTTTATTTTCTTTTGAACCCTGAAATAAGCTCTTGACCCTATTTTGGGGGAGGTCTTATTGTTTTTGAGGTGCAGGGGGAGGCAAGTGTGGTCACCTCATGGCTGCTACAGTGTTGCAATATTTTGGGGAGGGCTTATTTTCATGGGAGGGCTTATTTTAGCACATGCACTCAAAAGTTCGATTGAGCTTATTATCCGGGGGGTCTTATTTTGGGGAAAATTAATATTTTCTGAACTCCAGATACAGCCAGAGAGCAAAATATACTGTATTTTTCGGAGTATAAGATGCACCGGAGTATAAGACGCACCAAGGTTTTGAAGAGCAATTTTTTTAAAAAAGTAGGTAGGTAGATAGAGGGATAGAGAAAGAGAGAGAAATACAGTAAGTAGGTAGAGAGAGAGAGAATAGTTAGATAGGTAGGTAGATAGAGGGATAGAGAAAGAGAGAGAAATACAGTAAGTAGGTAGAGAGAGAGAGAATAGTTAGATAGGTAGGTAGATAAAGGGAGAGAGAGAAATAGAG